TTCTTTCTTTCTTTCTTTCTTTCATTGTTTGAGACAGTTTCTCTGTGAAACAGTTCTAACTGTCCTGGAACTAGCTCTTGTAGACCAGGCTGACCTCGAACTCACAGAGATCCTCCTGCCTCTGCCTCCTGAGTGCTGGGATTAAAGGCGTGCACCACCACCGCCCAGCTCCTGCTACTTTCCTAGGACTCTTTGCTGTGAGAAAATTGAATTTTCCCACTAAAACAAGGTGAATATATGCTCAAATCTGGTGGCAGTTGAAGTCAGACAGACCTCAGAGAAGTCTAGAAGTATTGGGAAGTATTCATGGCAAGGTGACTGCGGTGTTTTAAATTCCTCTGCCTCCCACCGCATGCCCAGCAGGGCACTGGTTGTCAAATGTTTTCACTTCTTTCTCTATTTTACTGACACACACTTCATTGTGTATATTCTCACGTCTATTGTAGTACACAGAAACAAAGAGACCATGTGCCCTGCTTAAATTCATATTGCCTGGAGGTGGCAAGCAGTGTAGGAATGTGGACTGAATGGGTTGGGCTGTTAAGAGAACCAGATTTTTTTTTTTAAGTTTTTCGAGACAGGGTTTCTCTGTAGCTTTGGAGCCTGTCCTGGAACTAGCTCTTGTAGACCAGGCTGGCCTCGAACTCACAGGGATCTGCCTGCCTCTGCCTCCCAAGTGCTGGGATTAAAGGCCTGTGCCACCACCACCAGGCCGAGAACCAGATTTTCATTTTGTTTTGAGGTATGGTAGATGGAATTTAGGACATTGGCTATTCTAGCTTTGGGCATGCTAGCTAGGTGAACACTTTACCACTGAGCTATATTCCCAGGCCTAGAGAACCAGACTTCTGTTTTTTTTTTTTTTTTCTTTTGTGACTGGGTTTCATTATATAGTTCTGGATGGTCTGGAATTCTTTATGTAGACCAGAGCCAACTTCAAATTTGTGGCAATTTTCCTGTCTCTGCTTTCCAAGTGCTGGGATTACAGGTATGTATCACCATGCCTGGCTTTTTTGTTATTTTTGAGACAGCCTCACTATGTGCCCAGAAACTCACTATGTAGTCCATGAACTCAGAGTCATCCTCCTGCCTCAGCCTGATAACCAGATTCTTATAAATTTAGAAGCTGATTTAAGATTTACTTTGTTTTTTCAAGCAGGAGGTTGTATACATGTGTATGTAACATGCATATGCACTATCTGAAATTCTAGCAAGAAAATAATACCTTGTTGTTTGCCTGCCAGCCAGCCAGTTAATTCCCTTCTGTAATAAATTGATGACTTGAATCTAGGCCCCTATCTACAGTACATTAGTCAGTGGGACTACTAGAATGGGACATGTGCCTGTACCAAGGCACTCAATCTACCATCATTTCATATAGTTTAAACAGACTAAGGGTGTCCCAGCAAGTGAACTCTATTGTTGAATGTGCTATTTCCTGAAGCTAGCACAGAGGAAGTCTTTCTAAATACCATGCTCTTTCTTTTGCACTTGCACGTTCTGCCTAGGCCTGCTCATATAGCCCAGTTTTCCTCAAACCCAGCCTCTCATTCCTGAAGTGAGTAAACCACCTTGAAGCACCCTGGTAATCTAGGTTTGTGCCTTAAGCTGGGAGCACTGTCAGCTAAGACTGATGGTGTAGCTATGGGTATTGTGCCAAGTGCCTCACCCAAGGCCTGGCTGCTTGCCAAGACCCCTGCAGTCCAGTATTCTGGAGAAGAGAATGAGAGAGGGGTTATAGTGAGGGTGAGGCACTTTTTCTTCTAATCTGAAACTTGACCTGGACCAGAGATGCCTCTTTTTGCAGACCGTAGAGACAGATCCTTTCCAAAAGTCAAGGACAAGCCTGATTCTCTACAAGTTGTGCAGCCAACCTGACAAGGTCCTGGGGCAAGTGGCTACCTGAACCAGGAAACACAGAGACCTTAATGAAATAGGTGCTTGTGTCCCTCCCCCGCTCCGAGAACCGAAACTAGTTGCCAAGGCCCGAGGCAGCTGCAACCACAGGCATAAGGAAGGGGAGGGGCTGCCACAGAATGAAGCTTGCACTGGCCTCAAGTTGCCTTTCCCAGTGTCTGAGGGCTCTCCTGGCCACAGCCCAGCTCACAGAGTGGCTGGAATCTGTGCGGAAGGGCGGCTACAATGGCAGTAGTGGTGGGGGAGCTTGTCAGGCCTAGCGTGCAGTGGCTGAAGCTAGGCCAGGCATCCCTATCCCTGAGAGGGAGAAGGGGAGGGAGGGAGGGAGGGCAGGTTGCTTGCCAAGCCCGTCGGTCACTAGCCAGGCCTGCCTGGGGCTCTGACAGCCTTGACCCTGAGCACCAACACCACTGCAGCTGCTGTGCTGAGCTCTGATTGTTAACCTCTGCTTGGGCTGAGTCATGCCCACAATACCAGCCAGCCCAGCCAGCTAGCTCCATTGGACGCTGGCCTTCAAAGGGCTTACAGATGTAAGAGACTTTAGGTAGCAGGCTGTGTCCTACCATTCCTGCTCCCAGATGGTAAGAGTCTAATTTCTCCCAGTTGGTTACAGGAATGGTTGACTGCAATATTGGAGTGAGCTGAACCAGTAGCATCTCAAACCACTAGAATAGAAAGCTTCAAGTCCAAGACAATTTCACCAAGGAAGCAGAAGTAGCCTAGAGGTTTCAGGCAGCCAGCACGGGGAAGTTCCCACCCAGTGGTGCCATTTCTCCATTTCTGCACCTTAAGACTACAGCCATCCAAGGTCTACCCCAAATTTGTCCCAGTGCTTATTTACAGCTTTAACATCAGCTTGAGAAGGCCTTAGGCTTTCCCTATGGCTTATAGCTGGCTGCCAAGGGTCTCCCAGCCACCTCCTCTCCTACATAAGCAGCATTTCAATCTGCCCCACCTCATGGCCCCCATAGAAGGCAATTTCCTCTGAGTTGGCCACCACTCGAGAGTGCATGTAGCGCAGTTCACCCTTCCGCCTTGCTTCCTCTGCCACCAGCTCTCCAAACTTGGGAGAGAAGGCTCGAAGCACGTTGGCTGTTAAGAACACCACCAGGCCAGCGATGGCTGAGGGCCAGGCTGTGCCAGCTCCTCTGGAGCGAGCAGCTCGAAGTAGAGTGTAGGAGGTCACAGCCACGTCCAGTAGTGGCTTGGTCAAGTTGGAATAGAGGTGGGCTATAGAGGCAGCAAAGGCTACCACATCCTCTGTCAGAGACTGGTCAGGGTTTCGAAGCCGTCCATCCATGTTGCTTACTCGGTAGTAAGTCTGCTGGGAGAAGTAGAGTCTATAGGCATGAGCAACTAGTCGGCTTCGGAAAGACAGAGCCAGCTGGCCCTCTAGGTAGCGGATGGCACTGTTGATGAAAGTGGCAGGAAGGGCGATGAGAAGCCACTGCAGCAGCTGCCAGCTAAAGGCCTGTGGGTCCTTACGAACAATGCAGCGGGCCAGTCTGCCGTCCAGGCGGGCCACATACACAGACAGGAAAGTTCGGCTTACCAGGGCAGTAGAATGCAGGGCCAGCAACCCTGTTTCCCGGCATAAGACTCGGGGGAACAGCAGCCTCAGGAGCACCAGGAGCCGCTGCAGGAATACCCGGTTCATGCCAGCCTTGGCTGCTGTGGCCCCAGAGGCCTCTTGCGTGGGCTCTCCAGCTGGCACCTGAGGGCCCCTGGCAGGAGTCAGACACTGCCGTACTAGAGGGTAGATTTTGTGGACTCCATAGGCTGTGAGTGCCAGAACCACAGCTGTGCGCTTCAGCGTGGTCACCCTCGAGGAGCGTGGAGTGGAAAGCACCGGCATGTCGCCTGGACTGGTGGGCAGGCTGAGGGCTGGTACCACTTACTGCCCAAGGCTGCAGTTCGGGCAGATGCTGGAAGGGCTGTTGCTCTGATCCAGGGCTCGTTGTCTAGGCAACTGGATACCCTGAAATGGTCCCTGAGACTTTAGGCCCCTGGGGTGGTGCTGGGGCCCCTGGATGTTGGCTTAGGATCCTCCAGGGTCGTGGCCTCTTCAGGCAGCCCAGGTGGAGGAAACAGGCTTTCCTCTCTAGATAATTCCTTAGCCCCTGAGGTCAGCTTCGAGAGATTTTAAGCAAAGAGGCTGTCTCTTCCCCCTCTACCTCCTCTAACTGCTTCTCCTCCCACCGCCTCGTGACGCCCCTCCCTGGGGCAACAGGCGGGTTCGTCCTCTCGGCAGCCCGGCTGAAGCTACAGTGACTTTGCCAAGGCCCGGAATTCCCACCCACCTTCCCCCCAGGGGGAATGGGGCGGAGTTGGGGCAGGAGGCGGAGTTGGGGCAAGGGGCACCCCACCCGGTACTCGCCCAACGGCTGGGCCCCACCCCCTCTCTGACCACTGAGACAAGGGATGGCCGCGTAGGCTAGAGAAGCGGCCCTAGCCTTCCCGCCAAGGCTCCTCCGAGCACCACCCTTGCGTGTCCAAAGAGTCAGAGACGCGAGTGGCAGCCAGCCGACAATTCCTCCGAAAACCTAGACAACTGCCCGCGGCCTGGGGGCGGGGCGGGAAACGACAACGGGCGGAGCCTTTGGGGCCTCACAAGAGCTTGTAGGCGGGGCCCAATGCGCGTTTCCGGTTTCCGGTTGCGGGCTAAGGGGCGGGCCGGAGCGGTGGTGAGAGTTTGGTAGTGGCCGTAGGGTGTACGCCTTGTCTGAAACTCGGTAAGCTGAGTGCGCGGGTGTGGCTGCCTCTCGGATCGCCGAGGTTACCCCAGTCCCTTCATGAGGGCAGGAACTATGTGTCTCAGAAAGACTGGGGATTCTGTAAAATCTCTGGATCCGGGCTGACTTAGGAGTCTAGGGCAGGGTCCAGTAGAGGGATGTTGGGGTGGCAGGTGGAGCGGAGCTCGAGGGCGGAGGTCAGTGATGAAACCCTATCCGAGAGAGCTGCCCAGGTGGGCCACCTGGCGCGATGGACTTGGGTGGCATTATGGCGTACTAAGGCTGTTGGTTCCCTTTGGCTTCGGGCGAGACTTTCTGGTTCTGGAACTTTCTCTGGGTAAGGCTTTGAGGTGTTCTGTAGAGACCTGCATTTGTTTTTGGCCTAGATTTCTGTCCTCTAGGAGCCGCTCTTGTGTGTGGGCATTTTGAGGGCACATTAATGCTTCACATTTCATGCATCCGCAGGAGCAGACGGAAGGCCTGTTTAGTTTCCGAAAAGCAGCCTCAGAGGGAGGCTCCTGGGTTATCTGACCCTCCCGGGTGTTGCCGTGGGAGGTTGCTGGGGCCGAGGCAGTGGTGTTTGCAGAAGGTGCAAATATGAACATTGCAGTCCCAGGCCCACTGAAGGAGCGACTGAAAGACTTGCAGCTCCTCTAGCAAAGGCTTCTGGTCTGGGAAGGGAGCCTGATGAGTGCCCTTGTTCATGTACTATTCTTACGAGAAACTTTTTTTTTTTTTTTTTTTGTTAAACAGGTCTAAGGAGTCCGTTGGACTCCCCCCTCCCCCGAAAGGAATCATCAACAAAGGTACATTGTCTTGGTAACACACACATGCTGGAGGGCCATAAGTAACTATTCCAGGCAAGGGAAGTTCGTTACCTGGCTAGCATTGGAGGGGCTCTTGCAGGCCCAAGCATGGCAAACATGGCTCTGGCAGGTCTTTTCCGTCTCCCATTCCCTCTTCCTTGCTAAAAACTGTTAGATTACATTTCTAAAGTTAGCCACCAAGGTCTGTTCCCTTATTTGGCTACTACCTGAGGCTGATACCAAGATCCAGCTATCAAAGTATTGAAGTCCAACAATCAAAAGCCCCCTTTTGAAGTGCCATAATTATCATGTCCATTCAGAATTAACTCATCCTAACACGGGGTTTCCTTTCCCCTTTTACTGCCATTTAACTATGGGCCACGTCTGTCTCTCTATACAGAGGCAGTCTTTTGTCCCAGAGAGACAAATACCTCTTCCCCTTCTCCCTAGATCTCCAACTCCTGTCCTTTGTCTCTCTGGGGCCAAATAAATCTATGTGCTGAGAACATGGTCTTGGGGTATCTTGGGCTAACTTTGCAGTCCCTTTGAAGCATCATTGGCCAAGTATTCCTGCTGAGTTTCAGCCAGGGCTGCACAAGCTCTGAAGCAGAGTGCCAGAGTCTGTTGTGAAGAGTAGCAGCCCCAGCCTCTCCAAGGTCCTTGAACTAGATGTCAGTGACTGCCCAGCTCAAGTGGTTTCTCCTGTTCCCTCTGCCCTACCAGGAGACAAACGCCCATCTCTCTGTTGGAAACCTTTAAGTCACAGGATGAGTCTACAGTGGACTGCAGTTGCTACCTTCCTCTACGCAGAGGTCTTTGCTGTGTTGCTTCTCTGTATTCCCTTCATTTCCCCCAAAAGGTATGGCTAGTAGAGCAACAAGACAAGCATTATGGGGAAGGTGCCTGTCTAACCCTGAACCTTAGAGTTTCTGTGTGTAGAGTTAGTGGACCCTGAAATTGGGGCTAAATGGAAACAAGTAAAATCTGTCTTAGATAAGGGTGACAGGAGGTTTGTTGGTTTGTTTGTTTTTAAATCACCAACCCTGCACACTGTTTTGCCTTGTTACTTCTTCAGTTCCTTTTCTGTGCACCCTGCCTTCTGGTCTTTGTAAAGGAAGATTTATCTTCAGTTTTGTGGCTGATATCCTCTTGCCTACCCTTAGGCCTCAGGGCTGTGGGGATGGCTGTGTGGAAATCAGAATACTTGCACCACAGGCTTTCATTGTTGATTTGGTGACTTTTGTCCTCCTAACTAGCTCTTACTGGCAATACTTAGTAGGCTCATGCGCATTACTCAGCCTATGAAGGATGAAGCCATATTCTCTTTTAACAAACAAGATTTGCTAAAAGTGAATTAGTTACTAATTTTTAAATTATACTTAATACATCAACACATTATCCTTATTTAAATTAATATGTTATAAAATCACCACAGTTAATAATACCTAAGGAATATTCTTGCCAAAACTCATATTGGCATCCACCTTACAGGAAGTATAGAGACCAAAACACTGGCAGGACTGTAGTCTTGGATGTTTTCTAGGACAACTAATTTGGTTCCACCACTCAGGAGGGGAAGGCAGGATCAGGAGTTCAAGGCCTGTTTTGGCTACTTACCAAATTTGAGGCTAGCCATGAGACCCTCCTATCTGAAAATGATAAGGACTGGGGAGATAGCTTGTCAATAAAGTACTTACTGCACAAATATAAGGATCTGAGCTTGATCCCCATCACCCATGTAAAAGCTGAACCAGGTGACGCACTCCTGTAATACAGTTCTTTAGAGGCAAAAACCAGGAGGATCCTAATCAGTCTAGCTGAATCAGTAAGCTCTGGGTTCAGTGAGACATTTGCAAAAAAGAAAGTAGAGAATGATTAGAGAAGATACACACCTAAGGCCCCCCACTCATGCACAGCACCAGAACACACATGTATCCACATATAGATACAAACACAGAAAAAAGTGAAAAAAGGAGAAGGAAGGAGGAACTGATTAAGACCAACTTAAAACACTAAATGCAAATTCAGAACCATGCCATGTCATGTTTCTAGCAAACTAACTTCATTTTTCAATCTGCATTTGATGACAAGGGTGGTTTGCTGACAGGGTCTCAGTATGTAGGCTTGGGACTTGCAGTGTAGATCAGGCTGGCCTCAAACTCACAGAGATCTACCTGCCTCTGCCTCCCAAGTGCTGGGATTAAAGGTGTGTGCCACCATGATCAGCTTGACTTGCTAATTTTTTTAGTACTATGGAACTCCTTCCGAAGACTTTTTAGAGCCATGTCTTGAATGTTGGTTCATGGAAATGATGGAGTGTTTGTGTTCCTTTTTATAACCTAGAGTGGTAGGTGTCTACACAAAAAAAGATTGTCACATATTAGAAAGACAGAAGGAACCAGGCATAGTGGCACACTTCTTTAATTCCAGCAAAGGAAGTCAGAGGCAGGTGGATCTCTGAGTTTAAGGACAGTCTGGTCTACCTAGTAAGTTCTTGGACAGCCAGGGACCTATTTAGTAAGATCCTGCCACAGGGAAAAAAAAAAAGATGAAAAGAAAGACAAAAGGAATAACTATGTTTGTGGCAAACACTCAACTACTACAAGGGAAAGTACAATGAAAACTAAGTTTCCCTTACTAGAGACTGCCAGTATTTTAAGACTGATTTCCAGCCAGGCAGTGGTGGTGCATGCCTTTAATCCCAGCATTCGGGAGGCAAAGGCAGGCAGATCTCTGTGAGTTTGAGGCCAGCCTGGCATACAGAGCTAGTTTCAGGACAGCTAAAGCTGTTACACAGAGAAACCCAGTCTCAAAAAACTAAAAACAAAACAAAAAAAAAAGAGTTCTTTTGCAGGTGAACAAGCATCATTTATTTTTTTTATTCATTCCTCTCTTTCTCTCTCTCTTTCATGTGCATTGGCGTTTTGCCTGCATGTCTGTGTAAACATGTTGGACCCCCTATAATTGGAGTTATAGACAGTTGGAGAGCTGCCACGTGGGTGCTTGGCATTAAACCTGGGTTCTCTGAAGAGCAGCCAGTGCTCTTTACTCTGAACCATCTCTCCATCCCTGACAAACATCTTTTTATTAAGTACTCTTGAACTTAATAAATAGGGGAAACATATAAGCAGCTGAGACTGATTTTTGTACAGGTCCCTTGGCCATTGGAGAAGAGCACCAAGCTGTCTTTACATTTTACTCAGGGTTTGTATTGTGAAGGTACATCTTCTTTAGTGTCTGTCTTCATCTCCTTCACAGATGGCAGAAGATTTTCAAATCCCGGCTGGTTGAGCTGGTAGTGACCTATGGCAACACCTTCTTTGTGGTTCTCATCGTCATCCTTGTTCTGTTGGTCATTGGTGAGTGAGCTGCAGCAGGGGTTGCTCCATGACCAGGTCCTGTGTCATGGCTTCTAAAGCCCCGTGTCATCTTGGGTGGATAAAAAACAAGTTTTACCTTCTCAGAGACAAACTAATCATTTATCTGCAAAGGAGGTGCTATTAGCAAAGCCTTCATTTCAAGAGGTTCCCATAGCAGTCCATGTGGGCTTACATTTAGTGGCTTTTATATACTCTTATGACCACCCGTATTTCCAGGGTACCCTAGTTATTTTAGAACTGATGCAGAGAGAACTAACTGGCCTGTGACATTGGTCCAGATAGTGCTGCTTTTCAGTCATGGAGACAGCAGTGTGGTCTTCTCCATTGAAGCCTGACATCATCTTTTAAAAATTACTTTGTTTTTTAGTTTTTATTTGTTTATTTATCACTGTTACTATTTTTTGTTGTTTAAGATAGAGTCTCTCCACCCAGGCAGAGGCAGGTGAATCTCAATGAGTTCAAGGCTAGCCTGGTCTACAGAGTGAGTTCCAGGACAGCCAGAGATAC